TTTATAAATCAACTTCATCTATAAATATTGTAGGGCTGAGATAGGAAGGAATACAAATGCAAATATGTAGAATGCAAAACTTTATATTTTGTATGTATTTACACTGTACATATTTGCATTTGTACTCCTTCCAAACCGAGCTTAGGGAAAAATATTCATCCATACTCTTGTCATTAAAAGCAATTTAGATTTAGAATAATTAAAATGTGTTTAGAATGTTGAATTGAAGTAGGAATAGGAATTGAAGTTGAAATTCCAATTCAATTCCTACGCCTATAAGACTTCGGTAATGTATAAAGCAACGACCCTCTCCCCAAATTGTTGACCCATTACATCAAGTAATGAGATCAATATTAATAATTTAATAAAAACTAGGAAAGCATTAAATGGTAAAAGAGATCTATATGCCAATGGAATACAGATTTCTCATTCATCTAAATCAAGGTTTTTTATGTTTTTGCATTTAAAAAAAATATATATTCATTAGGAATTTTATGGGTCACGTTCGTTAAGGGTTTGGTTCAACTCGGACCTGCCAAGAAGAACTCGGATTCATTGTTCATAAAATGGTGCACACATTATATATTTACAACCACTTGCAACTGTTTATTGGGGATATTTTTATACTTGTATGTTTTTATTGATCAGGAGATATAACTAATGCATAGCTGCAAGTGGCTGCAAGTATAGTGTGAATACCATTTTGTGAGCACTAAATTTGATCTCTTAGATGAAATGTAATACAAAACCCAATACATGATGCCAACAATGTCTCAACCAGCCATTGTAGTCGTACATTGGGAACATCTCTCCATGAATGACAAAAGAAATATTCCTAATACATAGTGGCTGTAGTAGCATGTTGGAACATAATTGGAAGCGTTTTGTTGGTAGCATATCCTTATCTGGTCAAAGGCTCACAGAGGTCAACCCCCCCAACATCAAACCTAACCCCAAGCTCAATAAAGCCAACGGGATACTCAACCTTATAGCATCAAGACAAATTTACAATTTAGTTTGATCCATTCATGTTACAAGGTAGCCCTTAGACTAGAGAGTTTTTTTCTTCAGACAAATGCCATATTGTTTTAAAGAAAGAACATCTAAGAAGTGGATTACTCCCACTCTCAAACAAAAGTTTATCTCCTATCAAATTGAATTATTTAGACACGTGTTTACCCACTCTCAAAAATCAATTAATGAGTTTGGTTCAATTTCATAATTTAAACAAAACATCCATTATAAAACTTTCAAATTAAATAAATCATTATAGAAAATATCAAATAATCTGTTTAATTATTTAAAAAAAAACTTCAAGATAAATATACCATATAAATGATAAATCAGTCAAGCATGAAATGATATGTACGTGTAGTTTCCCGTTGCCACATACTTACTACGTGGTCATCCTAAAATAATACAAAGACCCCCAATACTATGGGGTTAGTGACAAAGACCCGCTTGCACTTTTTTTGTGACAAAGACCCCCCTAAACTTTGGCCGTTAAACAAAGACCCCCCTCCATTAACGTTCCATCAATTAATTTCTAAAAATATTCTCGTTTGAGTGTTTAAAATTTTAAATGCCCAAATTACCCTTTTATAATTAAGGTGGCGTTCGGTAGTATGTATATATCGTGGACGGGACCGTTTTTGTCTCATCCATGGTAAAATATGGTGTTTTGCTAAGTGTGATGGTCCTCGCCCACAAAATAGCATGGATAGGGATGGACCACACTCCAATTTATTGTCCACAGTATTTTCTCGTGGATGGTCCATACTATGGTATGGACAATTTGTGGAAAGGTTTCAGTGTAAAGCACCTACGTTACATTGGTCCAATTACTATCATTTTATTTAATCTTTTAATAATTTTTAATATTTTATCAATATAATTTTAATGTTAATTCTAGCACAAGTCCGACGGTTCTCCTTCTCAACTTTTTTTTCATTATTTAAATATTAATTTGTAATATTTTTATCAATAAAATATTATTTTTTAATATTTAAAATAATATTTTTTTTAATTATTTAAAAATGCAATTGTTGTCTACATATTGATGCCTTTTTTCAATTTATTTATTATATAAAATGCAAAAATTAGATATTTATGATCGACTGTATAGATCTCCCATAAAATGTATAAGAGATACATGGAATCAAAAAGTATAGTATGGATCACACCATACTGCCACCGTGGGTGTGGATTCATCTAATCCACACAACTTATCTACAATTAAAACAACTGTGGACTATAGTATGCTATAAATTGGTCCCTACTACAAGGTGTGGTATGGACCAATCCACACCCACCAATTTATCATCAACACTACAGAACACCTCCTAATTGAGCCAAACCTTATGTTGCTCAAGCAGACAATACTTTTAAATGCTTTGGTGAATTCTATCAATGGAAATGAGGGAGACAAGTATTCTGGATCAAATACAAAAACAATCTTACAAATATTGTCAAGGCAAATCTCTGGAGGATATCTTATAGATTGATCAGGAACTTCTTTATGGCGATCATTGAGAGATTATGGCTCTATAACTAAAAATGCAGCATTCGAATCCATGGACGTAGAAACAAAGAGTAATGATCTAGAAGACAGAAGAGAAAGGGACAACGATACCTCCAACAAGAAAAGAACGACTTGACCTTCCGATTGAAATCTGACAATCCGCCTACATCCAGAATTGAGAAAGGTTTCATGTAATTGCTCATCAATTTGATGGAACTGGTTCATAGCCACCGATAACTACTCGTGTGAACCCGAAAGCTGCATTTAATAATTCAACTACGGCTGGAATTAGGCATGCGGATGATCAATAAATACGAAAATAGACATGGATGTTGAACTGAGAAACGGGGCCGTGCTAGGTTAGTTCAGTACGTACTTGAGTTCAAGTGTTCAATAGATAGGTCGATTTGATTAAAACACTAAAACCAATGATATCTATAAAAGAGCGAATGCCCCTTATTTCTATAATTTTTATTGGATATTTTCTGCCTCCTTTGTCTAAGGATACAATGGACATAAAGAGGAAAGTGTCCATGAATTATAAATAATTTTGTCTTAGAGATAGTGTCACGTGTAAATGCACATACACATTTATTAATATATCAAAATGTCCCAAAATTTCCAAATCAATGCGGTCAATTCCACTCGTACTATATATGAACTTGTGGGCACAACCTGATTGAACTTATTTTATTCAGCTTCACCTTGCAGTTGCACAAAGCAGGTTGCAGATTCTTTGGAGACATGTATAAGATATATGTTACTTTCTTGTAAACGATCCGTTGTGGATAAATACTTAAAAGTGTGGTGAGATGAATAAGAAATATATGAGAGATTCAATAATTGGCGTACAAAGTGGTTCTTGAATTTTCTTTTCTTGTAAAGCAAGAGAAAAGAGCTCCATAAAACTTTGCATATGGTGCAACTTAACCCCTCCACATCTCCCTTAATTTCTTGACGTCAATGCTGTTCTGCAATTTGTTTACCTTCTCTGGATTGATGACTTGTATTAATACCAAGATGTTAATGTCCCTTGCCATTTCTCAAGTGTCTTTGATTATTGGGTCGATCTTCCATGGAATGGTTATACTTTGTCTTGATTCTGTCTGTTGAGAAGCTTAGATTATTAATCATCCATTCAATTTATCACAACAAAAGTTTAGAGGGGTCTTTGTTACAAATTAAAGTATAAGAATCAATATTTGTCATAATACAAGAGGGAGTCTTTGTAATTTATCCAAAAAAATAAAACATAGCATGATAGCAAAACAAATGCATAGAGGAAATAAGGAAAATTACTAAATAAGGAGGATCTATTTTCGAGTTTCGCAAACTTGGTTCGTAACGGTAACAGGGGTCAGAAAATTGGTGGGCCCATACGTAGGAGTAGGGAAGCGATAAGATCAAAAGGCATGGATGGATCAAATATTCTGGTTATCATAGGGAAGTAGACACATTGGTCCCAGCGAAAGGACCATTTATTGGCATGTTTAACATTGGTGTAACATGATTTGACATCTGGCGACTCTTTCTTCGCCCACGTGGTTCCTCTGATTGGATGGTTTCTGCGTACTGTTTTCTAACACGTGTCATTATTCCAATTATATAATCCCATGCCACCTAATTTTTTGTTTTTATTTGGCCAAAATTTTTCGACACAAGATCAGAAGATGCTCGATGAGAACACCATTGGGACCCACCATTTAGTGGGTCCATCCCTTCCGACTCTGTTCTGGCCCCCAAAAAACAATCTTGACACGTGGAGATCTGAGCGTAATTGGTTGGTTTTAACTGTGGTAGACGCTCGATGATGGGTCCCATCAAGGAAACCTACACGGCTAGAGGACAATGATGGTGTGATATTATTATGGCACAGTATTTTCTGACCTGGTTAGTCTGGACTGTCGCCGGAAATCAACTGATCATATGATCAAGAAAATCTGATTTTTGCTATTTTTGGCCTCCGATCTCTACAACTACACCTATACATCTGCTTAGGCGTTCATGTCATTAGGACCATAGTACGCCAGTCAGGCTAACTCGCGCTCGGAGCGCATTATTTATTTATAAAAGGTCAACAAATTCTTTTTCCTCTTTTATTTCTTGACCCGGAACAAAAGGTCAACAGATATTTAGGATAAGCAGCAGAAAAACCTAGAACACCGTGAGACCGGAAGAAACGGTAATGACATGTTCTTTTGATAAAAGATATTTAATCAAGAAGGTGTAAAAAGTGAAAAAAGGAGGGCGTAAAAGTAGTTAGAGAAAATTGGGGAGTGGAATACAACTAAAAATATGCTACAACCTACATACATGATGTTCTTTCACACGTCCCATCTGGTCCGGAGTTGGACCTGACCGGCTGTTCCTTTTGCCCGTTGCCCTTCGGCCGGTCGGCCCTCTCTCTCTAATCTGTATTAGGCTATTAGCCCTGCCTCAATGCTTCCTTACTCTCCATAAATGATAAACCAACAACGTTATCTCTTTTTTTTTTTTTCTGTTTTTTCTTTTTCAAAATTTCGAGCTTCGGTTTCTCTCTTCTATAAGTATTTTCAGTTCTATGGCCGTTTGTTACTAAGTTCTGTCTCCTCCTTCCCAGGAACCCGACAGACAGACGGTCGTGATTTCTCCCCCAACGATCATCTTCAACCCAATATGATCAACGCTTCTTTTTCCTCTCTCTGAGTAAAAGAGAAATGCGTCCGTCTGTGCGAAATAAGGCTTCACACTCTTCTTACTCAGTTACTTCTCCGGCCAGAGTCGCCGGCTGTTGCCTACTATAACTTATTGGTTCGATACCCTCCAGCATCATCAGTTTATCTCTTATCTGGCTTCACTCCTTTTTTTTATTTTGCTTTCGATCGTATTTCTTCTCGTGTCTGTTCGATCGTCTCTCTGACTTGAATTTTTGTGCGCCCACCGAACTCTGTTTTTTTTGTATATGTATTTCTCAATTGTTAAGTTTATTGTCTGGAATAGTCCTCTAAATGCGCTGTAGAAGGATAGAAGTAACAGAGATTTCTGGGTGTCGAAGAGCTAATGTTCCTTAGACGCCTCTCTGCTTTACCTGCTCTGGCTCTTCTTCATCAGATACACATATAAACACCCTTTCGGAGTTTTCTTGGCTTAAGGACGCAAGATCAATCGAAGAAGGAAAGAGACAAAGTACAAGTAAACCACATAAATTGTTGACGAATTGGAAGCCGTGATGTTGGATCTTAACGTTGTTTCCGCTGATTCGACCTGCGATGGAGATAGGGTGATGATTGGCAAGCTTCCGGTGGTTTCCGGCGGCCAAATGGACGATTCCGGCTCCTCGAATTCCTCCGTTGTCAATGCTGATGCTTCGAGTAACGGAGGAGATGATGATTCCTGTTCAATTCACGACAGGCGTCCTGGCGGCGGCGATCTCTTCGCCTTCAGCTTTGATATTCTGAAAAAAGAGGCTGCTGCCGATGAGGACGACGACGACGAAGGTGAATCAGAGAACGGTAATATGACGTTGCCGAGTGGTTTCGTTACGAGGCAGCTCTTCCCGGTCACAGCGGACGGAGGACGAGGAGTAGCTGCTGGGGATGCTGGCTCCCGTTTAGGGCCGTCTTCCTCTTCCTCTTCTCGGCCGCATTGGGTGGATCTGTCATTCTGCCAACCGGACACCGGTGGCCAGCCGGGGATGAAGGTCTTGCACCAGCAGCAGCAACCGCAGGTCAAGAAGAGTCGTCGTGGGCCCAGGTCTCGAAGTTCTCAGTATCGGGGAGTTACATTTTATCGGAGGACTGGGAGATGGGAGTCCCATATCTGGTAGGCACAAGCTGCCCATTTGCTAATTCGTCCATTCCTAGTTGATTCTTTTCTGGCTCCTCTGTAATTTTCCACAATTTCTCGTTTTCTCTTTGTTCAGGGATTGCGGAAAACAAGTGTATCTGGGTATGGAATTAATCTCTCTTTTTGGTTAAATATCATCCCTTACTAGTGTGAGGGATGTTTTTTCTTAACTCCACGTTATTACCATTAGTGATGATTGATGAATTTTGTTTTGGGCTTCTTAGGTGGATTTGATACTGCGCACGCTGCTGCGAGGTAAGCCTGTTTTCGGATTGAACGCTGAGATTGACTGCTTGTTTTTACAATTTGGACTCACATGGTCGATATCTGGTGATTGTTGCTTTCAGGGCATACGATCGAGCTGCTATCAAATTCCGTGGAGTTGATGCGGATATCAATTTTACTCTCAGCGATTACGACGAAGATCTGAAACAGGTGGGATAGGCATTGCTCACAGAATCTCAACTATACTCGCAATTTTTTTGAATGATGCGGTGTTTATGTTTCTTTTGTTGATTCTCAGATGAGGAACCTTACCAAGGAAGAATTTGTGCATATTCTTCGACGCCAAAGCACCGGATTTTCAAGAGGAAGCTCAAAATACAGAGGGGTGACGTTGCATAAATGTGGTCGGTGGGAAGCTCGAATGGGGCAGTTCCTTGGGAAGAAGTAAGACATCCATGAAATGAAATTACATCTTCGTATTACTTTATGCATCTAAGATTAAGTGGTGATTAGATAGTCTTTAAAAAGAAGTTCTGATAACTTGTCTATGGAGGAAATCTTTCCTCATGGAAAACATCTCCAAGATGCCTAATTCATGGCAGAGAGATAGGAAGAGAAAAAAAAAAAGCAAATGAAAGTGCTTGAGAACCGGGAGTGTTTTCATCAGTAAGAATGCAATGCTTGCTTGCAGGTATATATATCTTGGGCTATTCGACAGCGAAATAGAAGCCGCAAGGTCCTACTTATTATGCATTTCCCTCTCTCTGATACTGAATTTCTTACCCTGAATTCTCAACCTCAGTAGGGTTCCATCCAACTCGAATCTCCATTTTGATTTTCTGGAAATCAGGGCTTATGACAAGGCAGCTATCAAGTGCAATGGAAGGGAAGCAGTGACCAACTTCGAGCCCAGCACCTATGAAGGAGAGATATCCTCTGACGCTGATAATGGAGGTATTGTTTAGAACTGTTTAATTTGAACGAATATTACTTGTCACCCAAAGAGTCTCTATCGAGTGATATTTGTTAACCAATACATGATTAGCTTCCTTGTGCTTTTGATGCAGGCAACGGTCACATTCTTGATCTGAACTTAGGTATATCTCCCCCATCTTTTATGGATGGCCCTAAGGGGAATGAAAGTGTGGGGGGATTCTGTCTTCATTGTGAGCCTGGTGACATTCCTGACACAAGGAGAACAAGGGTAATTATCTGAATTCAGACTTGAATTTATCTCCTTGTTTCTAACAATTCAATTAGGGAACAAAATCACTAGTTGCTGACAAATCTGTCTTAGGTGATCTTTTTCTGGTATCATCTCCATATATTTAAGTAAGGACTCTATTAAAAGCCAAATGTCTTGAGAATTATAGAGCAAGAGTCGTTTGTCTTTGCCTTTGGATAGATGTAGAATAGTATAGAAGGTCAATTTAGTGTGTTAGTCTAAATAGGGTTGATGGTTTATCTCCTCTTTGTTGCTTCCCATAGATGGAGAACCTTCCTTCAGCGACAGTGGGTGGTCAAGCCTCGCATGGCCCAGCGATGGCATCAGAGAACCCTCCCATCTTGACTGGTGTATGTCCTAGTTACTTTCCCAATCATGAGGTAATATATCTTCTTTCTAATAATCTAGCATCTGCATTTCTCCATAAAAGTCAATGAGCACAAGTTCCGCCCGTTGTCTGTCTATGAAAAGATTATGAAAAGGATCTTGAACTTCAGGTTCACCCTAGTTTGAAACTTAGGTTGGGTTTCTTTATTAGTTAGTTATTGGTGACTGGTGAGATATATAGGATTAATCTTAGCTTCCAGCCCACTGTTGTAACTAAGTTGATTTTCATAACTTGCTAATCTAGCCGTGGCAGTTGGAACACCTAACTAACTTGTTAAATGTTGGGGTTTTTAAGCAATCTTTTGGTACAGATTCCCAGTTGGTTAAGCTGAAAACATGGAAATTTCTCTAAAAAACTTCTATGGAGTCCTTCTGTGTATATTTAGTAAATGGCTCTTGGGCTGCTTTGGAGAAAAACCTAGTTCATTTTTATTACTGTTGATGGATTGTTGTTTAGTTTGCAGCATTTCATGAGAATTATTTTCTTATTGATTAGTACTAGTAGGGTGGTTTGTCCATGGTGAATGGCAAGGAAAATAACAGCACTGCCGTTTATGTTGTTGGCAGGAAAGAATGGCAGAGAAGAGGGCCGAAGTAGGATCGCTTGGACTCTCCAACTGGGCATGGCAAATGCACGGCCACAGCGGAGGCACTGCAACCCCAATGCCACTGTTTTCTACTGCAGCATCATCAGGATTCTCATCTTCTACAGCCAATGCTTCATCAGCTGCCCTTCCTCCACCACCCCCTTTGAATACATCCCACCAACACTATTATCCTCCTAATCCCACAAATCCCATGGCCAACACGTCTCACTTCTTTTATTACAGGAGCTGAAAACAACAGACATAGTCCGTCTGCTCAGACATAGGTGGATGGGCAAACAAAACAAACTCGAGCATGTTAGTTTTTTTTTTTATTTTTTTTAATTGATTCACGAATGTTTTTTTTATATTAATACAATTATTATACATGCCCAATTAAGACCAAGATCTGGCATGTAACTTAATTCCTTGACAAATTGGTCTCTTCTTGATTCATATGCTCTTAATCTTTATTCTTTTTTAGTGACTGTAGACTGTTAAGAGCTCTGCCCAGTGCCCAGGTCCATCTTTTATTGCGTTTGGATTCTTGGGACTTAATGAGGATGCTCTTATATCTTGTTCTGTTTTTTATTTTCCCCACAAACAAGAAGCTCATTGGATTGGTTGTGATTTGTGAAGTAAACCCCGAATTCCTGGGCTTTACCTTTTTGCTGTACGTGAATCACTGTTCTGCTGCAAGGGGAAAGCACACACACACACAGGCTACAGAGGAACTGGGGTGTGTCATGTGGTTGGGGGACTTCGGTTTGGGTTCAGTCAGAGTCGGTATTGTAAAAATCTTTAAGTAGCATGAAAAGCCTGTCAGGAACCAAACACGAATAGGGGAAGAAAGAAGGAAAAGAGGATTCCAGTCTCCAGTCCAGGCATGTAAAAAAGATTGTTTTCAGACTTTTTCTATCTTCTTCTTCACCAGTCTATTTTCTCTCAAGCCTTGAAGTGAAAGGCAAAAAAAAAAAAAAAGCCATGGCCCTGGCTTTGGCTTTGAATGTTGGGGTCCCAACTCCCAAACAGGATTGATCTGAGGCCTAATAGTAATTATAATTATTACATTTTAACCTCGACGGAGTACATGTACCATCTAAGCTATACACATTGTTCATTGTTGAGTTGAGTAGGGCCTATGGAATGGACAATTTACTGTCCTCGTATCTGCACCAGTTGAGCATGTTGCAGTGGCCAGTGAGGTGCAGCCCTCACTTGGGTCTCTCTCACTTTAGCAAAAGTCTCTTTCTTTTTCTGGTCAAAACCAATGAAAACCTAAGCAAATAAAAAACTAATAAATGTCTCGTCCCCTGGCCCCTGCTGCTTCTCTGCTTCTCCACTTGTGTGACACGTGGAAGCATGGGGAGCAAGCAACGGCAGAGTGATTGATTAAGGTTAAAGGATTGAGGATTGAGGATTCCCTCCTTTTGTGAACCGTTTTCATAACTCCTTGGTACTAAATTACATACATAACCCTCTCCTCTCTGCCCCATGAGTCCATGACCATGAACATGATTTTTTTTTCTTTGCCTTTTCATCTGTTCCCCCCTCCAGTCCCCCTGTCACCTCTTGGCCTCTTGTACAGCCAGTCGGCCTTTTTGAGTAAATTAGAGCCCATAAGAGCTCACCTCACTCTCTCTCTCTCTCTCTCATTATGTTCTTCTCTCCCGTTTCTATGACTTATGAGTGTTAGTCATCAGAGATTCCTGTCTGAAGATGCTCTGGCCTCTGGAGTGTGAACTTGTGCTTGTAATGTATTACATGAACCATCTGATTAATCTGTTTGGTTCCGTTTCGTGTGGATCAGGGTGGATTTGGAATTGGACCTCTGAGAGGAGTAGTGAAAGGGGGAATCTCTCTCTCTCATTCTTTTTTTTTTTTTTTGTGGGTGGGGGGTATTAATTATTAAAAGCAAAGGTGGAATCAAAATTCAAATCCATTCTACTGTAGTAGCAATCCAAACTCAGCTTTTCTTTTATTTTCTTTTTAATCTTTCTCGAGCGGATAGTTGGCCACTAATCCAAAGGGGCATGCTTTGCCTCGAGGAGAGTCATGATTGGCCACATCATCTTTTCCTTCAGAAATAGAAAATTAGAAATGAATGGGTGGCACCTAGGGGTTGTGTAGAAACTAGAAAGAAAACTGAAAACCTAACCTAATCGACCCCAGCCGTCAGAGGCAACCTCATTTCCAGTAGAAGGCAAACCACAGCCTTCATTAATTATCCCCCACCCTAAAAAAAAAGGAAGAAGAAATCTTTTACTCTACGACTACGTACCCATTTGTTAAAAACAGCTAAAATGGAGTAGTACTAACAAGAAGCTCTGGTTCTGGTTTCTGAATGGTGAAATCACAAAACTGGGCTACCCTCTCTCTCTCTGGACTCTCTGATCCACAAAGTACAACTTGGAGACAAAGGCTGAAAGGCAACCCCAGACCCACAGTGAATGCATTGCAATAACTCTTTACGTACAAAGGATTTGAATGATTTGCAGTTCCCAGTTCCCACCCACATTAACCCAAGTAGTAGCCCGTCTCATCTCCTTTTGTCAAGTCCAAGTCTCAACTCTCAAGATAGTAGCGAGACAGACATATCCCTTTGAGCTCAACACACTGAAAATATGAGATTCAGACCCACCTACTATTCACTGCCAAACTGTTAACACTGAGCTCCTTATTTAACATTGACTCATTCATTAATTTCTTTTTTTATTTTTTCATCCCCCCCCCAGCAGCTCAGACAGAAACACATTATTATAATTTATACATCAAAAGAAAATAAAAGAAAAGATGAATGAAGATTAATCAATCAAGAAGGTGGAAACCTTAATTTTGGGATCAGCTTAATCAAAGAGAAGGAGGTAAACAGAGAGAGAAATAGTTAGTATTTTGTTTCTGACTTGTTTTATTATTACAAGTAAATGATAAGAGACTGAAGACGGAGATGGATGGAGGTGTGGAGAGTGGAGGGCGGAGGCCCAGTAGAGATGTGCTATATTATATTTTTATTATATAAAATGAAAGTCTGCCGTACACGTGATCCTCCCACTGGCCCTCTTTGATCCCGACCATTCAGTGGTCTGGGCCACCGAGCCCACTTGGACAACGTGTACGGGTCTATTAGGGTACGGTGAACCCAGCGACGTTCTATCCCATGTTGTGAGTTGTGACAAACCAACCATCAACCTCAAACTACACTTGTAAACCGTAATAATTAATGTTGTTGTCTGTTTTTAACTCAACGGAGCCCTCCCTCCCTCCTGGCTCTTGCCTGTGGGCATGAGTCCACACGACAAATGTTTATGGGTCTTGCCCCCCCCCCCAAAAAAACACTCTCTCACGTGTTTATACTTTATTGTCAAGAAGATAAGCATGGGACCCACCATCGCCCATAACCCTTTAGTCATAAATTTGCACTGATGCAAAATTATGGCAGCTAAATGATTTAATGTAAATTCTGACTTTTTTTTGTTTTAAATTTTAGCTTATTTTGTTTGATTGCAGTACAAATAAATTAAATAAAACATGACCGAAGTAGAATAAAATAAAATACAACTGAATTTAACAAAGAATTTGCATTATTTGCACTTTCATGAATTTGTACTAGTGCAAATAAAATTGCACTGTAACCAAACACAGCTTTAACCACTGAATCAACTTCTCCCCATTACTAATAAATCTTTGGGAGAATGACGATTAAGCCCAGGATCAGAATTTTTAGGCCTAAAGTACAGTTGTGGTAGGAGTTAGCTCGGTATTGATGCCAATTCATGGGCGGGCATTAGTGTATAGAGTGGAATTTTTTGACATTTAAATATTTATAGATCTACAGTGGAATTTAGAAATCTGCATTAGGCCTGTCCATACTTTTCCATAAGTCCTCTTATAGACATATTATTCTACTTGGGAATTTGGATCTCCTCAGTCCTCCCCACACAAGACATGCATAACATGGTGGAACTTACATGGGTTATGTTGTTTAGAGCCCAGTAAGAGAACTCTTACTATTGGATAGGGATGTAAGAACAGCTTGTGGGTAGCATATTGTGTCTCTTGTTGAAATATGTAAAATTAAGATGTGTTTGGTTCCGTGGCCGTTTATTTGAAAAACGGTATTCAGGTCATCACCATGTAGGCGTTGGAGAAACACCACTATTTGGTAGAACTTATTTATTAAACAAACATTTTCTTAGTAGGTGTTTGGCATTGGTGCTGAGCATGTCTAGGTGGTGCACATTGGCTGTTTTTTAGGAAAATAGCACTAGTTTTGTTTGGTACCAGTGTTGTAGGGCCGTTTTCAGCATTGGTCATATTATCCAACATCCAATATGATGCCATATTGATGCAACATCATTGCATCGCTGTCAACAACGGGCTGTTTTCTGAGAAAACATCAAATTCGGCATTGCTTCATACTACACTTTCCTGATTTCCAAAACGTGGTCTAAAGTAACGATTTCTTACGAAAAAACAATACCAAAATGGCACCAATTCCAATCGCCTTAATTTGTATGAGAGCCAAAAGTTAAATGAAACACCATTTTTAATATTTTTCCTATCACCCAGCTGTTTATTTATTTATTGTTGAGCTTATGTGACATTTAATGACATTTATTATTTATTTATTCTCTTTTCTTTCAAAATTAAAAAAAAAACACACACACACACAAAATTTTACTAAAATAAACGGCCACAGTATTAACAGTAACAGCCCCCTAAACCCAACGTTGAAAAAAATTTGCTTTTGCGAAGAAGAACAAGTGTGTGAGCCTGAGACAGTGCATCTGTGCGTGCATGCATGCATATTCCTTTGTCTTGAAGGCTGAAGGCTGAAGGCTGGCCTTTCGTCCTAAAGTTGGAAGTCAGTCAGAGACCCAGTCGGATGCATGTGCTCATTCCGCCTCTCTCTCCATCGGAAAAACCACTTACTTTGGACTTGTTTTTCTGCGATCTGCATGCATGATTAATGATCTTGATTTGTAGTTGTGTTGTGTTGAATTGGGTTGAGAACCTTGAGATATATAAAGACGAGGCGCATCTAGTTCTAATGTGCCACTTGGAAGGTTGGGGAGAATTGGAAGGGGGGGGGGGATGGGTCCCATATTCACAGATGAAAAACAAAACAAAAAGAGGATGAGTTGTCTCCTTAATTAATCCTAATCAACAGAGAATGTAAATACAATGCAGCACTTTTTTATATCCATCTTCTCTGCCACATGGAATCGGGTCACCACAGATTGACAGATAGATATTTATAGAGAGAGAGAGAGGGTAGAGCTGAGCCAAGCAGCCAAACTTTGGGCTTATTCGGTTTGTAGTTTGTACTCTTCTTCTTCATATTTATCAAAAAAAAAAAAATAGAAGAGAGAAATGAAGAAAAAAACTTGTCATGGATGCAAATGGATAGGAAGGAAGGTGGGGGTTAAGATAGCTTAAGTCTTTTATTATTATTATTAGGGTAAAATACAAA